AGGGGGTCCGAAATCCACCGACAGGTGAGTGCGCTGGGGGCGCCCGACCCCCAACCGGGTTCCCTGCCCAGCCAGGCCTTCCGGGACCTCCCCCGGGCCCCTGCTGGTCACCCGGGCAGCCCGGATCCCCACTCGGAACTTTTTTTTTTTTTTTGGCCTGCCCGGGAAACTGGTCCCGGGTCAATCTGGTAGCCTGGAATACTAAAGATTCATAAAACATTTAAAATAAAACTATTGGAGTCTTGTGATACAGGTCTGAAGACGAAGGCAATCATAATAAGCAGCAAAATAATATACTGACCTTCTCCACTGCAGTGAGAACAAATTCCTTGCATGTAGAAGGTCGTAAGTCCGCTGGTAAGATGGAAAGGGCTTGCACCTGTAGAGAGAAAACAGATGATGCGCAAATAGTCGCCGGATACCGACAGAAATATTGGTCAGGAACGGAACAGAAATTCCGAATGAAATTCAGGAGCGTTTGAAACCACACACACAAAAAAAAAAAAAAAAAAGTTAAAAAAAAACTTATTCTGAGAGAGTGAAAGCGCCGTTGCAGCACCTCCACTTTTCTCTCGCTTACTGTTTCACTTCGCCTCCCCCCAACTTCAACGACATTTGAGAGATACAAGCTCTCTTTTTAAATAAATACTCAAAGGGTGACAACTTTGATATATCACCCCTTTGAAAAGACCAGCCCCAGGCAAATTCTAAGTTATTGGCACTCATCTGCTTCCATTGGAATTCGAACTCAGGTCTGTATATCAACAGTTCGCGGGTGTACCAGCGGAGAAAGGCCAGTTGGTACAGATAGACACTGCGTTCTAATCGTATTCTGGGGTGCAATGTCGTAGTCAATTTTTGCATTTACTTTTTACATGACTGATTTTCCTCTGGGCCGCAAAACCCTCGATCGTTAAACATTGGTAGGCTAGGGTGCAAAAAACTTCAAACTACATTACCTGTTGCTGTTTATTCGCAAGAACCAACAAAATGTTTCAGACGATGCACAACTGGGATGAAAATGAGATGGAGATAAAGGAAGGCCAAAACTAAAAACAAAGACTCTCTCTCTCTCTCTCTCTCTCTCTCTCTCTCTCTCTCTCTCTC